TAATCGTGATTTTTGTGATTTTTCCTTAATTTATGATAACCAGTGTATATAATTTTCCATATTAAGCCACTTTACAAACTGGTTGTTTATAACTCGAGCTGTGCTTGAAGTTTGCACACTAGTCTATTCCTTACGAATTGCTTTACACATCAGTCTTCAAATTTAACGCAAATCTAGCTAAGATGTTAATGTTGGTTAATAATGACTTCTAATCTTTTAGTGCACCAGTACAAGGTTTGGTCTGGTTTAGTTTATTATGGCAAAGCGCACAAGAGCTATGTGCGTAAGGGGAGAGATGGCTTTGTGAAGATTTTTCTGAGGGAAATGGCTCGTATACACGTTACACATAGGCAAAACTACGGAAACGCCCATGTAGCCAGCCGGTTCTCTGAAATTCGAGCCTAGGTGAGAACTACCAGTGTTTATCTGTTTTACCGCTCGGCCACTGGTGAGCCCTCCACGAAGGTATTCCTCCCTTTGCATAGATAGCCCTCAAGTACTTTAACATAATCAAATAAACCAAGTCCAACCATAATGTTTTCTTCTTTCAGAGTAACAAGTTGTTTATAGGATGAGCTAGTACAGTTTTGTTTCTTTATGCTATTGATTACATTGTCAGTATGCTTTAAATTCATTCGGAAACGGATACATATCATGTAGAAAGAATGCATCATCAGATACGGAAGAAGCCCTCTATTATAAGACGGAGAAACACAGTTTCTTTCATGCAGAAGGGGGGGGAATAAAAGAATAATGTAATTCTCAAACATCAAAATTTCAAATATGTTGAGTACAAAAGATATTTTTTCTGGCCTAGATTTAATTAATTAAAAAAAAAGATGATATGGACACTTCATGACTTCATTGTGTGGTCTATTAAATTATATAAAATGCAGAAAAACCTTAAATATCATACACAATAAAAAACAATTGAAAAGATAGATTTTACGATTAAAATTTAAATTTGTGTGCAAAAACAAACAATTCAGCTAACGGACAGGAAGGCAAAATTTTCAGCGCACAAAATTGAAAGTTATCTTTTGGTCCCACTGGGCAAAAATGACTCTGAAGGTGGTGCACCAGCTGACTTTATTCACTGTCCTACTAAGAGTTTTAAATTTAAACAAATGACGGCCTCGTTAGGATAAGCGCCACTCTTAGATTGTTGATAATTTCACAAGTATTGCGTGTAGATTAACTAAAAGTATAAAAAGCTTAATCGGAACATAACAGCAACATAATTCAATCACTTTTAAAACAAAACAAAAATGAACAATTTACAAACATATAAGAATAAAAGAACAGAGTTCACCGATCCGGGTAAGAAGATGTGTTTGTATATATGTACGTTTGGTACGGCCTATTGCAACAAAAAAAAGGGAGGTGCACAACTGCATGTTATTGCAGTCCTGTATACAAAATTTCAACGCTATACGGCTGATCGTTTTTGAGATGTGTGAGATTCATACGTACATACACACGTCACGAAAGAAACTCCTTTTGAATCCATTTTAAATCCATTCTATGATCCTTTTGGGGAAAAAATAGTCCATTATTCTGTTCCTATGCACAGATGTCACACACACAAAAAAAAAAAAAAAAAAAAAAAAAAATCGTTCAAACGGGTTTGAGAGAGGTCAGAATGGATGTTTTCGTTGAAATATGATACCCGATGTTTTTCGCGATTTTAGTACTTCCTTTACTTCGTATAAGGAAGTAAGTATGACTTTTCTCACAGTAGTTAATTATTATGTTTTTTTTTTTTTTTAATGTTTTATGCCATTGAGTTGATGCCATGAGTTGGTGTAGTCAAAAGGCGATTACAGAAAAATATAATAATAAATATTAATAATAATAAAAAAAGGAAATTTAAAGGCTTTCAGATTTTATATTATGCCCAAAAGGCCGTTTGTTTAACGTTTTGTCTGTTATCTTTATTTATTAAATATCATGTTTTCGCACTTAAAACACATAAAATTGAATTCAACAGCAATATCACAAAATATTTAAAAACAGGAAAACAGCCTATATTTAGAATTTCAGATACACATTCTCGCGCGCTGGAGATAAAAATGGTTTTTTACCGTACTGTGTTGCCATTGCTCGATTGGAAATCGGTGACTTTGTTAATGAAAAATTCGTTAAAGGTTCACAAAATTTGAAATAAATAATAAAAGAAATTCGGGCTTCCAAGTGCCCATGTTCGGTTGGAAGACTGCGTTATTCAAAATTTGGTGGGTCTAGGTACCGCGTTTTTTCACAATGCGAGAAACATTCATGCAGATTCTTCATTATTTAATTTCTTTAAATATTATGCATGGCGATTATATTGGCTGGCAACAGTTTGAAAAATGAAACCACGCAAAATGCCGTTTGGAAATTAAAATGATGATTCGCGAAAATGGTGTCAAGGATTCAAGTTATTCAGCATGTGTTGAATACACTATGAACTTTGTGTAAAATGCTTAAGACTTGATGTATGCCGAGCTAAAAGAGGCTAACATAGCTGAATAATTGATTATACAGATTTCTGCCAGTCAATGATTGTGTTTCTTTAACCTGAAGGTGGCATTAAATAAACTGACAAGTGATTATTAACGGGAGACCCGTTTCAAGAATTCATGTACTCATATATGGCTCTCTGTAAATATTGTATCCAATTCAGCCATGCTTGCTGCATGATCTATTTAAATCTGGGGTTAGTAGATCCATATTTAATCTTAATTCAAAGCTTTGTCTGTACGTGCCTCAAATAGCAGTAAATATGAAGCACGTGGATTAATCGCGTAGTTTTGGATTATCAGTTACTTCTTGCATGGCCGTCTGGATAACCGATTTCTTCAGCTCGGCTTTTGGGCCACCACTATCATACGAGTTACTGTTGGTATCCCATACAGGGATTAGGCAACGCTTACCCATAAATAGAATTATTGTACCCAGTATTTAATGTAACTTAGCTGGTGGAGACTCAGACCAAAGGGCTCCTTCCTGCCATACGGACTGTGAGTTTACTCGACTGGTAATATAACTTAAAGCGAAATTAAGAAAAGAAGAAGTTTGGCATTGAAGCGAAAAAGTGGGTATCTACTAATATGGCTCACAGTAATGCGTGGAAACCATGGACGGGGTACAAAATAATGCGAATACTTGTGAAATAATTATAAAATCTTTATAAATAGGAGTTAGACGAACCTTTTACTGTAAGGTGAGATTTCCTGTATACGTAAAAGCACATGCAGGCTACCTGCCTAAAGGAATGGATGACCTTTTCAAGAGAAACTTCCACATATCCACATGAGAAAACCCATGAAAGTGCCCATTCAAGTAGCCCATTTGCGTGGGCTCGAAGAACAAGTGTTCAGTTGGCTGTAACCATGCAACCATTGCTAGACCTTCAACCTTTCTATGAAGTACTTATTATACGGGATGTGAGATGGATACGTAGAGATTTTGTACAACAGTTTAACCGAATAGGAAGCCATTCCTCCAATAAAACAGCTTCTAATTTTAGAACGAAATTTGAACTCCAGATATCCCCACACATTTTCTTTAGTGTTCAAGCTAGGAGAGTGACCGAGTGCACATGAGATATCTTACTTCATCTTCCTGCTCTTCGATCTAGGCTTGAACATCCCAGTGAACCCATCGTTCTTGAACAGGGATCTATCCGATCATCCTTGAACAGTGTAGAAAGGAGGATGTTTAAAAATTAGAGCGGTCGCTCTCCAAGGAATAAAATGTGAACGAAAGGCTGGAATGATCCGCCAGAATGATACGTCAGCGACTGACTGTTACATTCCCATGTAACATTTTGTGAAACGTAACGTTTTCTATAAGTTCATACAAAGTTCAAAAACATAAAAATTTCCAAAAGTGTCCACAATTTTGGCCACCACTGTAGGACAGCAAGCGAAGCTGAAGTATTTCTATAGTGATTAGGGAAGCCGAGTACGATACAGAAGGGCCCGAATTCGAATCACGGAGAGAGCATGGTTGTAACTGACCGCCCCTTCATAGGAGGTAACGATGGCCGCCTATTAGGTGCCTCCGCAATAAAATGGCCATCACTTCCGGTCTTAGGAGTGGCCATTGTCGAAAAAAGACAAAATAGTGCCCACCCTTCGGGGACGGGGAAGCAAAGCCAGCCGCTTAGGTATATATTAGGTTCTCTTGGCCTTTTTAAATGTTAAACTTTCGTTTGAATCTTGAAGTAGGACACTTCGTGGGCGGTCCAGTGGCCTTCCAGCCTTCTTTCCCTACCAGCGACCTCTCGAGAGGAATTTCAGCTCGCCGTGTATTTTGAATCCCCCTTTCCGCACATACACTATACGCTTACAAAGATCCACACCGTCTCCAGGATTCGAACCCGAGACTATCAGTATGGCAGTCAACTTCAATAACCATTATACTGTGTGTATCTGGGCGCCATTGTGTATCCGTAGTCGTATCGCTTTTTTTTTTTTTTTTTTTTTTTTTTTTTTTTTTTTTTTGACGTTCAGATAGAAAGTCTGCTAGCACTTGGATTACCATCGTAGTCGTAATTTTATATGCGCTGTAAACTAATAAGGAGAAAGCGCTGCAAAGAATTGAATATGATGTGAACTGACATTTTTTGTAACCCTACGCAGAGGCACCATTAAGCACAATACGTTCTATAATTCTTCTATACTGATGAGGTGTGGTGGTAGTCTCCATTTTAATGTGCAATTTGTATGTTATGGGTAACAACAAACACTCTGTTTTTTATTCATTGCATAAGTCATGTGAACTAGCTAATATGAAAAATTTAATTTAATTTACACCATTTGCAATAAAATTATTGCATAAATTTGTATTATTCAAATACTTTTTTTCCCGTACTGTATGTCATAAATTGTACTAGTCACGATTGGTTTTTTCTGTTATAAATGAGAGATATTTCTTCTGTTATATATTGTGACGTTTCAACAAATATTTCATAACTATGGTTCATTAATATACTTTTTGTTCAATTATTACAGATCCGTGTAAAATTCCGGACCTTGTACCTCATGGAAAAATAGGAGTCTATAAAACTAGTGGTTATTATGGACGGACTCCAAAACTTGAGACTGTAAGTTCGAATTTTTTGCTCTATAAATCTATATGAATTTTTACCTTTGAATGCTTAAATACTTGTCAACATATTAGTAAATTTAATTTGTAAATGCATAGAGAATTATATACTTTTATATATAAATTTGAAAACGTCTTAATATTTGCTGCTGTAAACTGTAAAAATTTCACTACAAAATGTGATACGATTGGGATTCATACTTTGACAGCGGCCCACCAGCGGCCGAGTGGTAAAGTCGCTGAACACTGGTAGTTCGGTCCGAGGTTCGAATCCCGCAAACGGGCTGGCTGCATGGGCGTTTTCGTGGTTTTCCCCATGTGTAACGTGTATACGAGCCAGTTTCCTTTAGAAAGTCCTCCACGAAGGCATCCCTCCTCTTAGGCAGATAGCCCTCGAGGCTTTGCCATAATCACACACACACACATGCTTTGACAGTGTGCCTCTGTCTATGATTATAAAACGTCCGGGATAAAAATGAAAAAAAATTTTATAGTTAAACGCTGTTAAATAATAAAATTAAAAATTAGATCATTCATGTAAAAATTAATTCATTTTCGAGGACATATTTTAAGTGATCAGTAAATTCATTTTGGAATATCTTGCAAAGATTTGCTTTGGTTCTCCCTTTAAAAAAAAAAAAAAAAAAAAAAAAAAAAAAAAAATTTTTTTTTTTCATATTTCGATTCTACGACTTAAATTATGCGTAGATAATAAATTTTGTAATTTTTGGTGAAAATTTATGCAGAAATTTAAAAATTTATCTTGGCGCACTTTTTTTCATTTTGCGCCAAAAATAATTCACTTGGCCAACTTCTTAATTTATAGCAACCTATTTTCCTTTCCCTTATTTCTTTGCATACGTGCGGGAAAAAGGTCATCTTTCATACCTTCAAACAAAGTGTGTAAACCGCATTTGGCGTTATCATCGCTTATAACGAATATGCCAAGCAGGTATGCTTAAACATATATCTACTTTAAGATGATGATAAAAATTTTATAGGTTTTAATTCAAGCATTTTTTTCGAAAAATTTTATAAAAAATATTTAAAAAATACAAATTTTTAAAATAAATCATAAAAAGGGTGAATTTTATTTGGAATGAACCCAAATTTCGAAATTTTAAAGAAAGAATTAAATAAGTTTAACAAAAAAGATACATTTATAAATATGTACCGAATTAATACGGAGAAGCTAAAATTTTGAGAGTTAATTTTTTAAAAACTACACGTGCGACTTTTACAAGACTTGGTACTTTGGCATAATTTGAGTCGTAGAATTGAAATATGGGGAAAAAATCGGTGTGTTATTTCAGAAAAAGATCCGATTTTTGTCAGAATATCTATGTTAGAACAAAGCTATATATAAATCTAATGTATATCCCAATTCCCGCTTTCGAGACATGAAAAACGCAAGTTAAATTTCCACTATCGGTCCAGTAGAACGGGAGATACTTCTAGTATTCTTTCTTTTAAAATTAACTTAAATTTATATATGTAAGATAAAAAGGTACTATTCGGTTTCGAGGGCAGTAAAAAATAGCCAAACTATTGTGATGCCAATGCTGCCAAAAATAATTGCGGCAACCCTAATCATTGCGGCAAGAAAGGAAGTATAATAGTAAATAACTATCTAAGATTGATGTTTTAATTTAGATTAAAGGTTAATTTCACATAATACTTTTTTATTATAGTAATTTATATGAAAAAAGCTAAACATGACTGAAGGAAGCATAAGAGTCAATAACTATTTCAGATCATTATTATAATTTATATAAAAATGGCTGAACATAACCGAATGGATGCCTGCATCGTTATTTCGCTACCGACTTATCGCTAAAGCATAATTTCATCTCGTTGGTTGTTCAAACGTAATTTTCTGTAATGAATGATGCCTTTTCTTTGAGAATATTCTCGGTAAAGTGCAGAATCGCTCCCTTATTTGTTTGCCGCTTTTTACAAGGGTAAAAACAATTGAATTTTTGTCGATTTTCTTTTACTTTTTAAGTGAAAATAGGTCGATTTGTACATAGATAAAGTCAAGGGTGTGCGTAGTGCCATTTTGTGCAATTCTGGGATTTTTTTTTTTAAGTGAAAGTAGGTCGATGCGCACATGGATACCGAGTACGTGCTAATTCTTAAAAACGCATCAAGCAGTGGGTGATTCTGCACTTCACCCAAAATCCTATTGCAGACTTTACGTCGTGGGCAATTCCCAAATTGTTAAATCCATAAGGATATCAAAAAAGGATTTAAAATTAAAAAGGATTTAAAATTTAAACTAGTATGTTAATGGCGTCATAAGAAATATAGAACTATATAAACTTATGCAATCTGAAATCAAGGCGTACGCTAGATTTGGCGCGCTGTTAAATGGGCGCGTTTGCTAGATTTGGCGCTTTTGCGCATACATTTTCGCTGCAATTGTTTTACGGCCCTCAAAACCGAATAGTACGGATAAAAAATATGGAAATCGGGTTCATAATTTAATTTAGCAATAGTTAATTCCTTATTTTTAAATTAGGTATTTTCTCTCTGTATTTTGAAATGAGTAATAACTTTCCTGGACTGCATCATTTTATATCAGTCTAGGTCATATGGCTCGCATATTGCTGATGATGTATCTGAATCTGAACCTGAATTGAAAATTTCGAGAACTGAAACCTTTCTCTTAATATACAACTTGAACCGAAACCTTCTGTTAATGGGGTAGCAATACTGGATACTGCGCACACTTTAGCTTCTAACTTTCTCCTCTTAAAATGCTATTTCGCTGTGCTCTCTTTCTATCGCAACAGTATCAAAAATGCAAATAGTCTGGAAATATGATCAGAGTGCCAAGTGAGTTGTTGCCACAAATATCAATTGAAATAAAAATAAATATTTAATCTTCCTCAGCTGCGAAATATTCTCTTCATTATGGATGCAACATTCTACGTTCTACGCCATCAACTTTGCTATGTCGTTTTCATCACACACACACACATATACATATATATATAATTCTGGTACTTCCGATTGTAATAAAAAAGAGAAATGCACAACTAGATTTTATAGGAGTTCCATATACAAAATTTGAACATTCTACAGCTAATCGTTTTTGAGTTATGCAAGATACATGCGTATGTGCGTGTAGACGTCACGAAAAAATCAATTTTACAATCCGTTTTGGAATAAAGAGTCCTTTATCCTGTCATTACGTTCAGACGCCATGCAAATAAGTAGTTAAAAGAGACTTCGGAACGGTCAAGATGGATATTTCCGTTTAATTCGTGATAACCGAAAATTTTCGCGGTTACGGTACTTCCTTTACTTCATACAAGGAAGTAAAAATAGAGAGAGAGAGATTTAGTTACTCTCGGCGGGGATGTATTAATTTTTTTTTTTCAAGCCAAACATTTTTAAGAAAATGAACATAATATCAGTTTTTAAGTGTAATTTTTATTTCTGTTTATTAATAAAAGTTTACCTCTCACACGTGGAATTCGAACAGCGAATAAAACAGCAGCATACCAAGTGAACTGGAGAATAAAAATCTTCTGTTTAATTTCCATCTATTCTCAGGTTTTGAGTCATCTTGCTGATATCGTAGTGATTCAACATTACTTCCTTGTACAAAGTAAAGGAAGGATTGAAAAAGTTCCATTTTGACCTCAGTCGAATGCAATTTAGCGATGTTTTCCGTGACATCTGTACGTAAGGATAGAATAAAGGACCCTTTTCCCTAAAGAGAGTTATAAAACTAATTTAAAATCGATTCAGAAGAGATTTTTTCGTGGCGTCTGCGTATGTATGTATGAAATTCAGCGTACGTGTATGCATAACAGTGTCTGTACAGTGTATGTATCTCGCATAACTCAAAAACGAGTAGCCTCACATCGTTTAAATTTTGTATATAGGGACTGCTACAAGATGAAGTTATGAAACACCTACTTTGGTTGCAATCGGCCGCACCAAAAGTATACATACATATATATATATATGTAATAATAAAATTCCATAATCAAGAATACACTTAAAATTCTAACTGTATGTTCTTTTCATTTTTAATGGCGACGTTCTCTTATTTGAAAATACGTGGAATTAAATCTACAGCACCCGTAGTCAAGTTGTTTTACCCGCCTTTTTCTACACGTACAGTTATAGAATGTTCTGGAAATATTTAAAAGCGAACTGGATTGGCTGACGAGGCTGACGTCATTTCTTGGAAGCTCCGCCTTTCCAGAGGCTATAAAAGAACTCGCAAAAGGAATATCGGGGCTTTTTCTTTAATGTCACGATGCAGTAAACTTCATGTAAAAAGTTATTAGTAATTCTTTTTTATTTACTTCGGATATCTGATTTTGTAACTGCTATTTTCTCCTGAAATATAATAAATGGATCCTGTTTTTTAAAACTTATCGTCTGATAATTTAACCTGCGACAAAAGCTGATACATCACATATATATACCCACTCTGTCACTCGGCTCATTGAGCTCATTTTTTTTCCCCTCTGTCTTGTATGTTTGTAAATTGCGCTTTTTTTGCTTTAAAATAATTGATATGTTGTTTTAAAATGTTTTTGTCTTCCGGTTAAAGTTTCCATGCCTTTAGTTAACTTCCACGCAATAGTTGTAGAATTATTAACAATTTAAAAGTTGTTTAAGTGCGGCTAAGCCTAATTTTGTTTTACCATAGCAGCCATATTTATTTACATTTGAAACTTGGCAGAATAGTGGATTTGTTGCCAATCTAGAGAAACTCAGTTTCGCATCAACAAGGATAACGTCTTCTTTTATTACTGCGAATTAGATCATGCTTAATCCATTCTGGAATTATCATTTAAGTTATTAAATTATCTCATATATTACTGACTCAGCATAGCGTCCACAACAAATTAAGTCAGTTTCTACGCCTTCGGTGTCTTTTTGTCGAGTGAGACGAAAACTAAACGTTTAGTTTTGCGTATCGAAAAATCTGCCTTCTTGTCATCTGAGCGAATTTCTTGTTTTTGCCTAGAA